TGCCAAATGTAGTCTATTGAAGGCATTTTTGGGTCAATGTTTCAGATTTGAGTAATAACATTAACCGACTAGGATTTATGCAGTTCTATTTCTAATTTCTGGAAAACTRGATTCCGGTAAATGCTCTTACTTTACATTCTATTAGAGAACAAACAATATATCCCAGATATTTAAATTTCCCTTAATATAACAATCTGAGGCAGAATCAGGTAATAAAGAAATAGTAGAGTTTACTTAACTATTGTGCATAAAGAAATAATAATGACTAATGGAGCAATAATATCACTAGAATGTTAAGTTTCTGATGGTGTATTTCAAGTACGCGAGACAGTCAATACCTGCTGGCCTCAAGATTTGTGAAATGAAATGGCACTACCAGAACTTCACATTCTGACAGTGGCTGCTTGTGATAGGAAGCCCGGCCCTGTCTTCAAAGTACTGTGTAGTTTAAACTTTAGAATAAGCTCTCCTTGAAATTTCTTCGGCATTTAACACAGATCAGCTATAGGAAAGCAGGCACAGATTCAGGGTGGAAAGCCATGTTAGGTAAAACAAATATAGAGGAGAGTGGTGGCCCACACTTGTAATCCTAGCTACTCTGAGGAAGCCAAGGCAGGAAAATAAAAAATTCGAAGCCAGCCTCAGCAACTTAGCAAAACCCTGTCTCAAATAAATAAATAAATAGGGTTGTGAATGTAGCTTCTGGTGATTTAGCATCCCTGGATTCAATCCCTATTACTGAAGAAAAAAAAATAACTGAAAAATGGTAGGGTTTAAAAGACATCACACCAGTAGTAATATTATAGTAGATTTATTTTGTATAAATATAATACATATTTACTTACAATGCTAATTTTTATTTATAAATGATCTGTATATGGACAATAAGATACAAATTATAGTCACTTTAAGTAGAAAGTATTATAAATAAAAAAATAGTTTTTCAAGATTGGTTCTTATATGCTATGACCAATTCCTATTCCAAAGGAAAAGGAATTTGATATTTAGGTTTTTTACTAACTCTATCTTTAAAACAAAATTCTAGCAGAAACTATCTCTTATATGGGAAAGTTYATAGATAATATTTTCCTTTAGAAAATTACATTAAAAGTTTCATAGACAGGAGCTGGGGGTGTGACTCAGTGGTAGAGCAATTGCCAAGCATGTGTGAGACACTGGGTTCAATTTTCAGCATCACATAAAAATAAATAGAATAAAGGTATTGTGTCCACTTACAACTGAAAAAAAWTTTTTTAAGTGTCATAGACAACAGAATGATGTGTACTGGAGACACTTTAGAGATCCATAAGCAGGAATCCATGTCAACAACAAACACTATTAACTTCATGCAAGTCACTACACCAGAAGTGGTGGGGCAATCTCAAACAAGAAAAGTTGCTCTCAAGGACAGAATGTGATAAGAATCATATGAAAGTTTATGAACTATAAGACTATAGGAGCATAGAGGAGAATCTACTCAAACTGAACAAGGAAGAAAGGACTAGAATCAACTGTTATAGAGAAATATGGGATAAACAGGCAAAGATGGGGATGAAGTATAAAGGAAAACAAGAAGAAATAGTGTGGACAGAGACAGGCTGGATTGTATGGTTCCTGAGGATTGGTGCTGAACCACTGGGAATGCCAATGAAGTCTGCAAGAGTAGGAATGAATCAAGACTGGAATTATGCTTTAGAAAAATTGCTCAGGCAGTGTTTAAAACGGACCACACAATGAAGGCAATGAAGAAAAACAAGTGTGTTTTTTTTTAAATAATTTTTTTCCAGTTCTRGGGATTGAAGCCAGGGCCTCTCCCATGCTAGGCAAGTGCTTCACCCACAGAGTTACATTCCCAGCCAAGAAGAAAAGTTACTGCAATCACTAGGAAGAGGTAACAAGGACTTGGGCCAGTCCTATGCAAAAACAACAGCAGGACAACGAGGAGGAAAATGATACAAGAGGAATTACAGAGTCGTTTTTGAGATCTGGAGCCTCATGTGTTATCTTTCTATTACAAAGGAAAATAAACATTTGAATAGGAAGAAAATGAGTTCAGTGTTAGTTAACACAAAATTTAATCTGCTYGAGGACTCATGAAGATATCCCAACAGGCAGTTGCAAACGTGGCCTTGCAGGATAATGGAGAGAGTAGTGTATGGTCTAAGTTAGAACAGGGAATTAGGTTATGTTTAAATTGTTGATAAGAATTCTGTTCTACTTTTTCAGTTCAATGTTTTCTCTGAAAAGACCCAAGGAAGTACTGTGGGAGAAACCAATATATAAATACAGCATCTGCCTTCAAGGAGTGTACAGTACAGTCAGAGAAACAGGGTTTACCTCTCTGAAAATCATGGTAACTATATTTGACTATGATGAACCTCAAACTTCAAAACCTTAACAATGGAAGCATATTCAAAGACAATAACAACACATGCTGTGGTAATATTTATATTTTAACTAAACTATTAAAATAGGAGGCTTTCCCTTCTAGGTATTCTTCTAGCCAAATATAAAATATACATTTGGTTAACAGAACTATAAAGTCTTCGTCACTTAGTAATATCATTATAAATTATGATTAATCAAGGGTTTGTCTGATGTTCTCATTTATAGAAATGTTGCTGGGACAGGGGATATAGCTCTGTGGAAGAACATTTGCCTAGTGCAAGGCCCTGGGTTTGATCCCCAATACCCACCCCCCMCCC